ATGTAGGTATTTTCAAGAAAATGTATGTATGTATTTCATTACTTGTCCAGTCCTACCTATAACAAAAGCTCCGTTTAGCTTGGGACTAGATGGCGCTGTATGAATAGTCCAGGTCCCAATTTTTTAAGTGTATATTGGGAAACTGGAAAGCTCACTTAGTGTAAATAAAGATGTTTAACCTCTATTTTATCCCCCCTACTTATAGCTACTCGCCCCGGCTTCGCCCGGGTTTACATGTATTATACATATAAACCTTCCTCGTGAATCACTATCTATTAAAAAAACCGCTTCAAGATCCGTTGCGTAGTTTTAAAGATTTAAGCATACATAGGGACGGACAGATAGCGACAGCGACTTTGTTTTATACTATGTTATGAAGCGGAAATTTATGAGTGTGGATGGATGTTTGTTACACTTTCACGCAAAAACTACTGAATGCATGCATTTTGATGAAACCTTACAATAATATAGCTTATACATCAGAATAACACATCCGTACTAATATTAGAGATGCGAAAGTAACTATGTCTGTCTGTCGCGCTTTCACGCCAAAACTACTGAACCGATTTAAATTAAATTTGGTGCACAGATAGTATAGACTCTGAGAAACGACATGGGCTACTTTTTAATATGAAAAAAAGGGTTGTAAAGGAGATGAAAGATTGTATGGAATTTCTAGAGCTTGAAACTTATTTTTAAGCTGTTGATTAAATATAAATAAATATGACATTCGATGATTGTAAAAAAAATACCCTTAAAATAAAATAGTGAATGAAAATTTGTATGGAACTCATCATTTGTTGACGCGCGGACGAAGTCGTGGCCATAACTAATGTCATTAATATTAGAAACGCGAAAGTTTGTGACGAAAAAAAAAACTGAACGAATTTTGATGAAACTACAATAATGTAGCTTACATATAAAAATAACATATAGGCTATCAATTTCATGGAGGTAAAACAGCGAGCTCAGCTTATCTTTATATATAAAATTCTCGTGTCACAGTTTTCGTTCCCATACTCCTCCGAAACGGCTTGACCGATTCTCATGAAGTTTTGTGAGCGTATTGAGTAGGTCTGAGAATCGGCCATCATATATTCATCCCCCTAAATGTTAGGGGTAGTCCACCCCTAAATTTTATTTATATTTTTTTAGACAAAATTTTTAGTTTCAATTTTATTATGATACAACATACAAAAAAACATACAATCCTAAATTTTCACCCTTCTATCATCAACCCCTATTTTTTTATAGCGTTATTAATTTATATTGTAGCCCCGTTTGGAATCCTAAGTACCAGGTCCATAATATCAGATTAGAGAAAGTACAAAAAAGAATTCTTTATCATCTTGCTTTTTCGGATAATCAATGTAAACATCTTACCTCGTATAATTCTAGACTCAAATATTATGGAATTACTTCGCTTTCAAGACGTCGGGAAACATCTGAATTGGTACTTTTATATAAAATCTTACACGGAATAGTCGATTGCCCTGATATTCTACAAAATATTGATATAGTAGTTCCACGATCATCTAGCAGACTGCTCAATAGAAAAACTTTTAATCTCCCCAAGTGTAGAACTAACTATGGCAAATACTCCCCGGTATATCGAATGTGTGAGAATTACAATAATGTCAGACACATATTTGATATTTTCGGTGCATCAGTCAGTAATATTAAACGGAGACTAAATTGTAATTTTCTTGAAATACAAGAAAGCTTTATAACATAATTCTGTATTGATGCAAATTATTATTGTATAGTGTCATTATGTGTGTGAAAAAATTAAGTTATGCATGCTGTGTCTACATCTAGAAGGATGTGTTACTTAAATAGTTTGTATTGTGTATTAAGTTATGTACTATGTAAGACATCCAGTTTTGTAGACCTAATAAATAAATAAAAAAAAAATATGGCAAAACAATTAACGTTTGCCGGGACAGCTAGTATATATATTATTAATTTTAAGGATAATGAATGAATGCATTACTATGGCGAGGTTAGGCTAGGAAGTGAATGGAATAGGAGCGCGTATAATTCCGACAGGATTTAATGATTCCACGAACAGATCTGATCTAATATTATAATGTTACTGTAGATACACGGTGCATACGGACAGACAACATAACGAGATGTGTATCATTTTTTTTTTTTTTTTTATAGGTGATAATGGAATGCACCCGCCTGCGCTAACGGTTTACGCTGGCGGGGCACCAGTGGAGGATGATAAGATAAACATGAGGTCAGGTTAGTTAGCCCATCGTGACAACCTCACCACGAACTTATCACGATGGTTTCCAGGGGGAACCGCGTGGAGGTCAACCTGACATGGTACATTGCTAGTAATGGGGTCATGAGTCCACATTACTAACAATCTCCTTTCCCTCCAGATGTGTATCATTAGATTAGCTATGTTTGTAATATCGCTTAATAGAAATTAGTATAGTCCCTAAAAAAGTAGAAAGCCTGCCAATTGACATCCGGGAAGAAAAGAAAGGAAAAGAAAACCGCCTAGTGATGGAAAGGAACTATTGTGTCCATTGCTGGCAATGTACCATCAACTATAATAATAATATAAGTGTATTAGGTATATGTATATCATCATTACATAGAATAAAAAAAGTCGCTGTCGCTGTCCGTCCCTATGTATGCTTAAATCTTTAAAAGTATGCAACGGATTTTGAAGCGGTTTTTTAATAGCTAGAGTGATTCTAGAGGAAGATTTATATGTATAATACATGTACACCCGTGCGAAGCTGGGGTGGTTAGCTAGTATACTGTAATACCTGTAGAACTGTACGAAAATTTCTGGAAATAGACAAAATACCTGACACATAAATAAGAAGGATCACAATAAGTACATACATACAATACATACAATACATACACGCACTACTTACTTAATTTCAGCTTGTAAGTATACGCCACAGAGCATAAAAAAAACATGCAAAAACTGTGAAAATAAAGCATACAAGTAATAATATATCAGAACAATTCACACAACGCCATCTAGTCCCAAGTTAAGCTAAACTTGTGTTATGGGTACTGGACAACTTAAATAAATACTTAGATATATATTTTTTGTAAATACATATATATAAATAGTAAACACCCAGACTGATATAAATAATCATTCTCATGAATAAAAATATTTGTACAGTGCAAGGAATCGAATCCGGGACCATTAGAAATAAACATCGTTTTATTTCTAATGGTCCCGGCTCAACCGCTAAACCACCGAGGCAAACACTTCCCAAATACCACAGGCCAATTACCCACCATCGAAAGTCAGATTCGCTCAAGACTACACGACCACAAGATACTCCTAAAAATCATTATAAAGCAACAAAAAAATAATTCGTTGATCATAAAAAAAAAATAACACTATAGTCAGATAAGGCAAGAAACAACATTATCCAGTTTAAACCGGTTATATCCAGATAAGGCTGTACAAAACTCGACTGGATTGGTCGGGCTGAGACACCTGTCTCACCTTACCGTCCCACCAATCAGAGGCGGGCGCACCTGTGTTAAGGGGCGGTAACACCTCCAAAGTAGGTGTGAGTGATAAAAATATTGGTCTAAAGTGGCGTGATAAGGCCTCAATAGGTAAAATGGGTATATTTACTAGTTTATTTAATCCTTTGACGTTATCTATACCTATAAGTGCGTAAGTAGATTATTTATGTAGGTAGATAACTTTATGGTTATACTATGTAATATTATGTTATCTGTGGTTATACGAAGATATAGTATTAAAGTTTTTTTTTTTTAATTTGTGTTGAATTGTTTATAATTTTAGATTTAATAGGAATAGAATAGAAAATCATTTATTCAAATAAACTTAATTTAAGCACTTTTGACTACTTTAAGTTTAAGTATAACAATGTTTTTTTTTTAATCTACCGCTCATTCGGAAAGTCTCATCACAAGAACGAGTAAGAAACTTGTGTGTTGCTCTTTTAAATAATTCTTGTAAGTTTACATATACAGGTCGAAACGTGTGAATACAAACTACCAACCAGCACTAATTTATTAGGGTCAAATATAAATATGCAATAAGATTAAATCAGTCGTAGTGATAAGAGCAGACCAGTCCCTACAAGCAGCACTCGTTTACGAGTATGACGGATGAGCCAGCCATCACTGCGCTCGACCGTAGTTTAGGGAGCCCAATGACCCGGCCCACCACGCAGCCACATGTAGTAGGTAGGTATATTAAAATTCTCGTTTCACCGTGTTTGTAAAAAAGAAGAGAAAAAAGAAGAAGGTAATAAAGTATAGAAACTTATTTATTTTGTTACGTCATCATACGTAACAATTTATTATGTTTTAACAACTGACAAATTTTAGACTTTTAAATCTAGACTTTATAATTGGTTATTAGAAAATTGTTTTTATAGTATTAAGGATTTTTTTGATATGTAAAATATTGTTAGTTTTGACATATTTTAATATATAAACAATTTAATTAAATTATTAGAAATATTTTAAAATTTAATTCAACTTATAAAAGTGATAATGTACATATATAAATTTTGCACGCCTGTTAGCAGGCTGAATACATTGAAATATTTATATTGTAAGACCTACTTGTAACATTGTATTCTGCAAATAAATAAATAAATAAATAATACTATTGTCAATTGGTTTATTGGTTTATTCAAATAAAATCGTAAAATTGTGACAGTTTTTTTAAGAAGTAACGGGCAATTTACTAGCTGTCTTCTTGTACCGTATCTGCATACCGAATTGGTATTTTTTTATATATATAATTTATAAAAAAGTTTTTTTTCGGACTACTCTAATGCTGTTGGCCGCAGCTGGCCTTTACAGCTTCACCGGACGATAGGGGGCGAGTGCAGATGGCACTCCAAACCCGCGGAAGGGCTTATAGACGGATACGACTTTAGTCTGAGGGCACCGCTAGGGGTTCGAACCTCGGCTCAGGCCGTCGTAACATCGGTCCCCGTTTGAATTGGACGGGAGATCGATCGGAGTTTGCACAGAGGCAATATCGCAGCCAATGAGGTTATCCGAGGTACGATTGCTAGTTGAAAACTTATAAAAAAATATTTAAATTTATATTTATAATAATTATTTCTATTTCTAAACATGACTATTTAGGTGCATGTGTTTGTATATGTATATCTTATCAGACAGGGAACTATTTTCTGTACAATTTCCCAAGAAAATAGAAAGCATAGCAATGTATTATAAATATAATAAATCACTTTACAAAAATAAACTAGGTCTTCACTAATTGCACAATAATATTTACAAGATCTTCGGGACCGTAACTCATTCACCAATTATTTAATATATATCTACCTACGTATCTCATTAACTCGTGCCAAGTGAGTTTTTCTTTAATTATATGCTCTTATAATATTATAACGCGATCATTACACGCTGTTTTAGCAGCGAACTTTGGCGGAAATCCGGTACAAGACGGTAATGATGTGTGGACGTCTCACCTGGATGATGATGGTCATTAGTGACTAGTGATGGGACAATTATCGATGTTATTATATCGATAGTTTTAAAAATAATTATATTGAATGCAATTTAATTATGTGTAGATATATGTACGAGTTTTATATTAATAATAATAATAATCTCAGGACTTTTATGATATATCAATTTTACCGTCAGTTCGGAATGATGTCGAGATGAGAAGAACTGATATTATAGTTTCTGTTTACATAGGACATTGTCGATTATATCTATACCAAGAGTAACCTGACATTGAGAGTGACGCAGCTGAAGTCGAGGCACAACGCGAGTTTCAAAGCGTTTGTGGCCCTGGTCTCCACCAACTTGCTGCCAACCTTCATGAAAGAGGACTACTGGCCGAAAGGTGCGGTATATCGGCGCTACAGTGGCAGATTGCCGTCTTCAGTGCCGTGATCACACAGACAATATCTATGTATTAGTTTTCAAATATTATATTATATGTATGTGTTAAAGTATCATAATCCATAAAATAGTATTGTTTGCATGCAGCGCCAATAGATGGCGCTGTAACAAAATTGAAACTCGCTAACGTTTCGTTTTGTACAAAGTCCATATGTATTTTACTTTATACCATTTTTTGTACTTGTATTTGAAACCGACCAATAAACATTATATACACGAGTGTAGTGTTTTGGTTTATAGTACCCTTAGGACCTTGTGGTTTTAACATTTGGTCCTTAGTTCGAGTCGGATTTATGACTGGCGCTAGTTACTAGCCCGGTATTAAAAAAACACTGGTTCAAGTAAACCAGTACGCACCTAGGGGCAGTGGTTCGCTGCTCGGGGCGCCCCTCATCAGGTGATTGGTGCCTATGGTGGACCAGTCAGAAGGACCTGAAGTAACAGCAGAGTGAGGAGGAGCATCTTCAAGGCAGAAAGAGACAGCAGCGGTACAACCAGGGTGCGGCGGAGGTGAAGGAGGAGAGGAAATTTCGGCTGAGTGGTAAAGTGTGAAGTGAAAAATTGTGAGTACTTTTAAATATATTTGTCAAGCTAAAGTGAACCTTATTTCAAAGAAGACCGGAACTTTAATATTTATAATTGTAACTTTAAAATTAAACTTAGAATTTGCATGGTAGTTTAGACTTAGAATAATTTTACAAACTCTGTTGAGACGGGGAACCTATGCCCGATTTTACCTAGGTTGGTAAACATTTTAAAACACTTGTAATTTTTTCGTGATTTTAATATAGGAACTTAAAATTTTCTAAGTGTTTAATAGTGAGTAAACACTTGTAAAAATTAGTGAATAATTATACTACGGAACTTGCGATTTTAATAGAAACAAAAAATATTAGATTAAATTCATCTTTAAAAATATTATTGTTGTGCTGTGTTATTGCTATATTTGTTTTTATAAAGTTTATTTTGTTATTTGTTAAAATGGAAAGTCAATTAAATCTACAGGAAGATGTGCTTAGACGTATTAGAAATTCATTTAAAAGTTATAAAAAGGCTTCTGAAGAGTGTGTAACAGAGTCATATATTGAAATAAGAATAGATATTTTAGAAAGTCTTTGGTTAGAATTTTTATGTAATCATAAAGATATTGTAAAAAACAGTCAGTACAAAGAAAGTTCATATTTTAAAAATAATTATTATGATATTACGGAAGAATTGTATATTGAATATAAGTCAGAGTTAAAATGTGTGTTGTCGAAATTAGTGCAAAGTAAAAAGTGTGATACTACAGATATTAGTTCAAATAAGAATGTACAATTTAATTTACCTAAAATTACTATTCCAAAATTCTCAGGGGACTATTTACAGTTTTCTAGCTTTAAAGATTTATTTTTGTCACTAATACATAATAACAATTCTCTAGATAAAGTTCAAAAATTGCATTATTTGAAAAGTTGTTTAGAAGGAGAAGCAGAACAGCTTGTTAGACACATACCTGTGTCCGAATTAAATTATGATAGGTGTTGGAATCAACTTGAACATAGATATAATAATAAAAGATATCTATCGCATTGCGTAATTAAAAGGTTATTAAGTCAGAGAAGTATCCAGGTGGAATCCGCAAATGCATTAAAAGGTTTGTTGGATACTACTACAGAATGTTTAGAAGCGTTAGGGAATTTAGATGTACCAGTACAGACTTGGGATTTAATTATTATATATTTGATTACGTTAAAATTAGACAACGAAACGAAACGGCAATGGGAATTATCTATTTCGAATAGCAATGTGACAGATAACTTACCCACCTTTAATCAGTTTAGAGAGTTTATATGTAATCGTTATAGAGCTTTAGAATTCATTGAAAATGAGGATGTAACTAAACCTCAAAGTAACATTTCGAGAACAAAAACATTTCATGCGATAACAAACATTGGTTGTTTGTTTTGTACCGAAAATCATCGCATTATATTTTGTAAAAAATTCGCAAAGGAAACATCCGATAGTCGTCGTGAATATGCACAAACTAAAAAATTGTGCTTCAATTGCTTGGGAGTAAATCATTCAGCCAAATTTTGTAAAGTAAAGGTAACGTGTCGCATATGCAAACGTCGCCATCATTCTTTATTGCATCCTAAGGGTAAAGGAACGAGTAACACAGGTATCAATGAAATTGAGGGAGTCAGGGAAGAAACAATCAGGTCAACTGTTGAGAATTCCATGGTAACAGAAAAGTCCGCTGCCTCAGCTGGAGAGTCACCAGCTGTTGTTTCATGTTTCTCGACAGATGGCGCCTGTGGGCAGGTTTTATTACCGACTGCTTTAGTGGGCATTGAAACAAATCGCGGTATAAAAACTGTAAGGGCGCTTATTGACCAAGGCTCTCAAGCCTCCTTTATCACGGAGGCCGCGGTTCAATTATTGGGTTTACGGAAAATCCCAATAAAGGGTATAGTATCAGGAATCAGTGGAGATTCTCAATTACGTTCGAAATCAATGGTAAAAATAAAAATGCACTCTTTGTTTGATAAAAATGTTATTATTAAAGTAATTGCTTATGTTTTAAAGTCAATAACAACCCTATTACCAACAAAAACAGTGTCTCTAGAATGGGAGGAATTAAAAAAGATCAAACTAGCTGATCCAAACTTTAATACACCTAATAAAATAAATATATTATTAGGAGCCGAAGTGTATGGCAGGATAATACAAAATGAAATGATGAGAGGTCCTACAGGTATTCCAGTCGCGCAGTCGACATCTTTGGGTTGGATAGTGTCAGGGGCTGTAAATAATAAAGTTAATGTAAACACAAATATTATTGCAATGCATACTTGTTTAGAGAAAGGCACCATAGATAAGAAAGTTCAAGAGTATAAATCTGATTCAGTACTGAAACAAAATAAGTTATTAAAGGTTAAGGAAGAAAAATATGAACAGTTATTCTCAAATAGAACTCATAGTAACATAAGAAAGTATATTAACAGCTTACCTTTCTGGAATCAAGAGGATCCAAAAGAGATTAATAATAATGAAAAATTTAAAATAACTAGGAAGCAGTTATTTCGAGGATTTAATAGAGATAGAAATAAGAAAGCGAGTAAAACAGTTATGAAAATGTATACAGATTTGAGTCCATATGGTTAGACTTATTATTAAAACAAAGTAATGTAGAAATGCTACTTACCTTCATTAGTTGTTGTGAGATTTGTGAAAGAAACGTCCTGTAAATAAAAATAGAAAATTATATACTCATGTTAACTTCAATATTATAAGTCGAATATACTTACATGAATACAGTACTTTGTTGTAGAATGATGATTATCTGCATATCGGCTTATCAAAACATGATTGACAATTAATGGTGCATATATATTATAAATAAAATAAATTACTTGGTGGTACAGATATATCAACAAACAGCACACGTGGATGGTAATAAGAACAGGAACGATGTATCTGCAACTGAAAGAAAATAAAACATTATTACATAAATAATATAATAGTAAAGTTAGAAAAAGTAAAGGAAATGATTAGGAGAAATGATGTAATGAAAAACGTTAATATAAAAATAGAATTAATAATAAAAGCATTTGTACTTACCTTACTAGTGAAAATTGATAAAATTTCTTGAATATTGTGATATGTGTGATCTTAATTATAGTAAATATATAATATATAAAAAAGTACAATGAAGGACAATAAAAAGTAAATTATAAAATTTGAATAAAAAAAATAATGTTGTGTATGCAATGCAAGGCATTAAAATATTGCGAGTTATAGGTAGATTTAGATCATCGTAAATATTACATTAGGAAAACTATAATTTGATAAAACTTTATTGTTGTAAAGAACATATAGGTAGTAGATACTAATTTTATGTTAAGTATCATAGGTCAAAAAATTGATTTAAATGAAAGTTTATAAAGGCACACATAATACATATGTGTAAAAATAACATCTTACTGGCGCCGTTGATCTCAGAAATATCTGGCGGAATGTTTTTACCATTAGGATGGTAGGTTTGACTGGCAAAACTAAGCTAATTTTGGTTTGAGTGAATGATCTATATCTAAGCAGTTGAGAATTATAATAAAATAGTACATAAACATTCCGGAAATATAGTATTGTCTCAGTGGTTACTTTGAGATTTAAGAAATACTAACTAAAAAACCTATTTCTGTAAATGAACGCTTTTTG